CCCCCCCAGGCTCACGTCGAGGAAGCGCTGGTTGATCTCGTAGATGAGCTGCAGGTGCCGCGGCAGCAGCGACTCCAGCAGGTGAACGGGCCAGCGCTCCAGCGCCTCGGGCAGCACCGTGTGGTTCGTGTAGGCGCAGGTGCGCACCGTGATGTCCCACGCCTGGGGGGGGGGACACCCCCGGAGTGACCCCGAGGCCCCCCCTGCAGCGGGCCCACCCTTGGACTGCCTCTCGGCCTCTTCTCTCCCCAGGCTCTCCCTCTCTCCTCCTCCCTCTCCCTTGGCCCCTTCTCTCCCCAGGCGCTCCCTCTCTCCGCCTCCCTCCCCCTGCTGCTCCCGGGGGTGGGACCCCCAATAAACCCTCATCCAATCAGCACCCTCAGAAGCCGTGTGGGGTCTCCTTGCCTGCCTCTTGCTACAAGCCAATTTACATTTTAGGGGACCCCCGAGGACTCCCGGGGACCCCCAAACAAACAGCAACGATTGGCGCCCAACGTGCGGCACGAAGCCACGACCCTGAGATTCAGTCTCACCAACCGAGCTAGCCGGGCGTGGAGCCCTCTCGGGGGGCTTGGGGACACCCCCCTGTGGTTTGGGGGGGGTCCTGAAGTGCCCCCCAACCCCTCCAAACCCACCTGGTCCCATGCCAGGTGCTCCTCGTCCACCAGGATCCGCATCAGCTCCGGGATGGCCAGCGAGGGGTGGGTGTCGTTCAGCTGGATCGCCACCTGCGCGGCCGGGGTCAGGGGGGGTCGCAGAGGGGGGTTTTGTGGGGCTCCCCCCGGGGGGTTTCGGGGTTCACCTTGTCGGGGAAGCTCTCGAAGGATTTCCGCACGGGGTCGCGGCTGCCGAATTTGGCGGATTTGAAGCGCCGGACGATGTCGTGGAGCGTGGCGGCCACCACGAAATATTCCTGCTTCAGCCGCAGCTCCTTGCCCTCGAAAAACTGGGGGTGCCCCCCCGGTGAGACCCCGAAACAGCCCCCCCCGAACCCCTTCCCTTCGAAAAATTGGGGGTACCCCCCATGAGACCCCAAAACTGCCCCCCCTGAACCCCTCCCCCTGGAATATCTGGGGGTTCTCCCCTTTGAGACCCCCCCCAGGGATCCCCAGCACCTCCCCACGTTATTTTTGGGGTGTTTGTGATGTTTTCAGCCAGGTTTGGGAGTCCCCCAGGATTCCCAGCTTCCCTAGACCCCCTCAGGACCCCCCCAGACCCCTTCAGGACCCCCTCAGGACCCCCCTGGACTCCTCCGGACCCCCCGTTTCTCACGTTGTCGTTGGGGTACAGCACTCGGGAGATGTTCTCGGCCAGGTTTCGGTCCAGCACGGCCTGGACGTACCCCCCGACATTGACTGGGGGGGACAGAGCGGCTCAGGGGGCGGCTGGGGGAACCCCCAAGGGTGGGGGG